GGAAAGAGAAAAGGGAGAGGGCGTGATGCTCCGTGGTCATCTCTGCGCTCGGTCACCCGTCCAGCTGGTCCATCCCCTCTCCTTGCCCCAGTTATCACCCTGGCATCCTCTTGAGGCCTGCCCTGCTTCCCCGGGCCCCTCGGAGGCAGGGGCTGGGGTCCCTCAAGGAGCCTCAGCCAGACCCCTGAGGCTCAGCCACCCCCAGTAAAACACAACGTCAAGTGCTGTTGCAAAGGAGATGCACCACTGGAGGCCAGTAACACTGGGCCAGTAACGCTGTGGCCAGGCTGCCTATTTTACTAGGCAAAAATGATGTACGTACACATTTAATACATTTGAAAGAAAACTTTGACTCTCAGCTTCCTTCTCTCTGAAATGGAAAAACCTGCTTGGAAGGTGCTTTCTGTTTCTGAGGACTTAGGCGCAGCCTGTTAGGGGCTTGGCACTGGTAAATCATCCTTACTTTTATTTCAGTTCAGTATATCCCAGCTCATGGCAGGAAGCCCCTTCTCTGCAAAGCCGACAAACACTGGTTGTTTTAAAAGAAAAGTGCCCCTAAGCTGAGAGTTGCAGCAGTGGCACAAGAACTGTCCCCCAGACCAAGAGGGACACTTCCTGGCACAGGTGGGGCGGCACCAGCTTACTGTCACCATGACCCCGACGGAAGGGGGCTTGGGCTCTTTGAGCGGCCGCGGGTGCCTGGGTTTGCTCTGGCATGTTTCAGGGTTCCGAGCAGGCAGGTGGGTGGCTGCATGGTGTTCTCCCTGTGCCAGGTTCCCAGCCCCGGAGAGGGCCAGGGCGTCCCCGCGTCCCACAGGTCAGGGAGCCCAGACACGAGGGGGCCGAGTCCAGGTGATTCTCCCAGAGTCAGGAGACCTGGGCTTTCTCTCACTTTCTCCCTACCCTGATTCCAGTTCGTTCCAAGGAGCCTCACAATCAAATCCAATACCCAGTTGTGTTCTCCAGGGCCTTGTTCACATCAGCAAAGGGCCGGGCAGCTCACCCAGCCCTGTCCCCACCGTTCAGCTACTGGTCCCGGGAAGCGTCGTCCTACAACAGTGACGGGGGCTCCTGGCTCTCATTAAGGTCCCACACAAGCTGCATGGATACCGCGTGAGGGGTCAGCACCCACTCATCTCCAACTTAAAGCCTAGGGGCTGAGGCTCAGAGAGGGCTAGTGATTTGCCCAAGGTCACACAGCTGGGCAGAGGCAGAGTCCAACACCAAGGCTTGCTCTCCCACCCCGGCGGCCTCTGCGAATTCCATTAAAACGTTCTCACTCATGCTCAGTCACCCCATCCTTGCGTTTGGGCCTCAGGGACCATCTCAACAAGCCTGTCTTCTCCCTGCTCAGCGGCCTCACAGTCAGCGCAGGGGCTCTTGCATCCTCCCAGGTGCCCCCGCGGTAAGCAGCCCCGGGTTTGGGGTGGGGGTGGGGAAGGACATGGGCTCTTGAAACGGTAACCGTGGAGACCCGCAGCCTGGAGGACCAGCCCAGTCAGTCCAGGCTCGCCCTGCTGCCACCAGAGCAGGAGCCCACCCGGCTGTCCCCGGCCACCTTCTCCATGCACGGAGCTCCTCTCAGCTACTCAGCTGACACGGGGCCGCCCCTGCCATGGCTCTGAAACCCTCATGCACTCCCCAGCAGATCCTGGCTCCTCTGGCTTGGGACCCAGAGCCAGAGCAGGGCTGGGCCCTGTGACCCACTCTCCCGCATACCTGCCAAGTCTCAGCTCCGGGAAGCTGGCCCCGTCCCTCCCCCTGTCACAGGCAAGCATCCTGCACCATGGAGCCTGCCTATCTGTCTCCCCTGCCAGAGGACGTGGGCCCTCCTGTAGGGCAGGGACCCACTGGTCTTATTCACCTCTGTGTTCCTGGTACCCACCCCAGAAGGGACACAGCAGGTGTTCAGTGGCTGTGTGTTGAATGACCACGTGATCCACTGCCCAATGATGCACTGGGGAATGACCACGTGATCCACTGCCCAATGATGCACTGGGGACGGGTGGTTAGGACCACAGCCTTCCGACGGGTTTTCCCTGGGCACGTTCAGCAGACGCACGTCCTTGTCTGGGGGGGGGGGCACCCATCCCCCAGGGGAGCAGGCAGTCAGGGAGGCCTTCCAGGCAGTGGGGGAGGACTGCCCTCCCTCTCCTGGCTCGGCCTGGCACGGACTCCGGTGCTGGCCCCTGTTGCTGGACGCAGAGATGGAGCTGGCTCCCGGGGGTCGTGGAGCCCACTGGGCCTGGTGTGAGGGGCACTAGTTAGATGACTGCTGAGCAGCCCTCCAGACGACTGAGTTAGCTCACGTCTGGATTTACCACGTAACAGTGGAGCTGACCCCACCCACAGGCCGGACTCAGAGGGAGTTGGTGACGCCACCTCTGCTGCACTTCTCAGGGGCTGAGGGCCCCCTGAGCAGACCCCGCTGGGCTGACCCGGAGCTGACCGGGTCTGGCTGGTTCACGCACATTAGCTACCTTGCAGGCGGCGAACAATACAGAAAAGTACAGCTCTCTCCCAGCCCCCGGGCAGGGAGCAGTCAGCTGGCTGGAGAACTATCTCCAAGGGGACCTGAGTGCCCAGGGAAAATCATCTGTGCCTGTCCCATCCACCTACTGCCCTGTCCACCCACTGCCCGGTCCGCCCACTGCCCCGTCCACTCACTGCCACACCACTCACTGCCCTGCCCATCCACTGCCCTGTCCACCCACTGCCACACCCCCTCACTGCCCCGCCCACCACTGCCCTGTCCACCCACTGACGTGCCCACTCACTGCCCGGCCCACCAGGCCCAGAGTTTATTCTCATTTCCCGAGCAAGACAGAAGAGGCTCTGAGGGGCGGAGGTGGGGCTGGGACCCAGGGAGGGTGAAACAAGGGACAAGCAGGGCATGACTGGGGCCTGGATCCTGTCCCAGGACACGGAAGGGCAACTGTTGTCAGGCTGCTGGCCTCTGCCCCAAATGTTCCCAAAGCATCTGTGGAAACAAGCCCAGGAAGCCAAGTCCAGGGCAATGACCAGCCCCCGGGGCAACAAGACTTCCCTTCCTCCCTGCCAGCCTGCAGCACTCAGAGGGCCTCGCTTCTGCTGGGCCAGTGGCCTCCAGGCTGGGAGCAGAGGTGGCTGCTGCCACCAGGCCTGGCAGCAGCTGGGCTCCCTGCAGGCCTCGAGGCCAGCTCAACAGCGGGTCCAGAATCCAGGGACTGGTGCTGGGCACGCTGTCCTGGTCAGGGGAGGCTCTGGGGACACAGAGGACCCGGGGCATGTGGTCCTCCTCCACGGAGCCCTCCCACCCCGGCTCAGGGCCACATTTCCCCAGGTCGCCATGACACACCAGGGATAGCAGGACGGTCCCCACGGCCCTCGGACGTAACGTGCACCTAAGTCCACCTGTTCCCACCTCTATCAGGAACAGCACGGCTTGAGATTTAGTCACCTCGGTGCCGCAAGCCAAGAGCCATGAATGAATCACGAAGGGGCAGATGCCCAAAAAGCAGCGGCTCCCAAACCCACTGAAATCAACTGCTAAAGAAAATGTGAGGATTTCCCTCTGTTCAATTCTTTCAGAACGGGCTTGGCAAGAGTGTGCTGAATTGGGCTGGGTCCCACCCAGCCCGAGGGCCCGATACGAGGCGGGTCCCCTCCACCAGCCCATGCCCCCATCACGTCTCCTGGGCCAAAGTTCATGAGGTGGGTCTCCATCCAGCCCCACCAGGAACTCCCAAGCCCTGAGCCCCCGTGGTGTCTGCTAGGTCTGGGGACAGGTTTCTGCTCTGGCTCTACTCACTCCCCACAGCCAAGGGTGGGGGGACTCTGCAGCCCTGACCCCTCGCTCCCACAGTGCAAGGTATTATTGAAGGACTCAACGAACAGAACCAGCGTCAACAGTAAAAAGCAAAGTACGCCCAACAGTAGAGCTCTGCCCCTTTCCTCCTGGAGCAGAATTCCTCTGGTCCCTCCTGCCAAACACAGCTGCGGGAGAGTCGCAGGGAGCCACCGAGACCCCCGGATCGGCCGGCCTCCCACACTCTTCCCGGGGAACCTGCCTGACTCTTCAGCCTCTGCTCCTCTCAGCCCCTCCCCGCCTCCACCCAGGGACCCCGGTCACCTCGGCCTCTTGACCCAGAGCTGCCACCAGCAGAGCGAGCCCCTCACCCCCGAAAGGAATTCTGGGTATCCCACGGGCTTGGGTCCGAGAAGGCTGGGTCTGAACTCTGCAGTGATCCCAGCATCACTCTGCACACCACACACAGGCACGGCCTGAGGCACGCTAGCAACCCCGTGGGTCCCCCCGCCCCCTGCAGCAGTTTCCCTGTCTATCTCCCAAACATGGATGCAGACCCGCTGCTATGCGGCATTTGAGTAGCCAGGGTCTTCAAGGGCCCACTGCCATCCGGCTCATCCGTAGCCTGTTTGGTGGCTTTAAAAGGGTTGGCATGCCTGGGACACCACGCATGGGGGACAGAGTGGAAAGCCAGGGGTTGCTGGAGTCCTGAGGCCGGGCCAGGAGTCCTGTGGGTCACGCACCACTCGCCGCCCGCGGACCATCTGCGCTATCCTGGGGCCCTGCAGGGCGTGGCTCCCAGTGGGGGTCCTGCAGGGGTGGGGGGCTCCCTGGCACAGGGCCTGGTAGTGCCTGACAGAGCAAAGCTGGCTGACATGCCTCCCTTCGAGGGCCTGTGGTCCCCTGGGCTGCAGTTCACCTGGATTCACTTCCTTCCTTCAACCCGCAAACGCTTGAGTGTGTCACCTGCCAGGACTCGTGTGGGAGCTGGGAATTCAGGACGGAGAGACTGGAGCCTTTCCTCCAGGCTTTTAGGGAAGAGGGAGCTGCCTGCGGGGTGTGAGTTGAGGACGTGGGGCAGGAGCAGGAGTTGGCAAGGTCTTCAGGGGCTGACATTCTGGGTGAACCTTAAAACCCAAAGGAGGAGTTTGTCAGGATCGTGATGCAAGGGCACGAGAGGGCATCTCTGGTGGAAGGAACGCATTTGCAAAGGTGCAGGGGAGAAAGGGAGTGGTGAGGACGGAGGCGCGGCAGGCCGGGGGCAGCGGGACCCCTCCCCTGCTCACCCCACCACCATCCAAGCCAAAGGGAGCTTGCCCTGTTCCTGCCCCAGGGCCTTTGCATGAACCGCCACCCTGCCTGGAACCGCACTCCCTCTCCCTCTCTTCAGGGCTGGCACCATCTCATCTTCTGGCTCAGCTCCCCCTCATTTCCTCTGGAGGACCGCCTGCACCCCCACCCCCACAACCATCCCAGGTGAAGTCGGTCCTTCCCCCGCTCTCCTGCCCCGCCAACCACTGCTGCATTATCTGCTTGTTGAGGCGTTGATTTCTGCCTGTCTCTGGGACGCCAGCCCCGGAAGGGTCAGGGGCATGCCGGCCTCCTTTCTCACACTGCACCTGCAGCCTGGCACCCAGCACAGGGCCTCTGAGGGGCAAGGAATTTGGCCTGGCCCAGAGGGTGGTCTTGCTCTAGTTTCTGGAAGGTGATCGTACCCGATAGGATGTCTCTGTTTAGGGAGGGGGCTAACTGCACCCAAAATTCTTAGAGTGGGGCTGGCCATGCCAGAAAGACCAGCCCTATGACTCTGGTGGTCTTGGGTCATGTCACCTGGAGAGTGAAATCAACCACATGGCAACCAATCAATCAACCAACCAACCAATCAATCATTTAATGGAGCACCGATAAGGTCTCTGGCCCCGGAGCTTCCCTGGTTGGCAATACACCGTGTGCGCTGTCACCTGTCACTGGGAGGGGCCGAGTCTGGACTCCACGGGGAGAAGACGATGGCACCGTGTGTCCAGACCCCTCCTGGACACTGCCCCATGCTGGGCTGATTTCACTCTGTATCTCCCCCTGCCCCCTGCCGGGATAAACCATAACTGGGGCTGTAACAGTTCTGTGAGTCCTTCAGATACATTAATGAACCTGCGGGCAGCTGTGAGGACCCCTCGAACTAGCCGTTGGCGTCCGAAGTATGGATGGTCTTGGGACTGTTTGGAGACCCGCTAACTTTGCAGTTGTCCCAAAACTTTCGCAACCATCAGCGTCCACTGAACAAAGGAAGAGGTCGGCAGGGCCAGTGCGGGAAGGGCCCTGGTCCCACCCAGCAGCTGATCTACCTGTTTACACCTCAACACCGCCAGGCCTCGGGCCACCTGCCCCATAGCCTGGTGGGACTGGCCGGCAAGCCTGCAGACGCAGCCAGCGTCCTCTTAACCGTGTGATGATAGCACAGAAGCCGGGGAAAAGGCGTCAGAAGAGATTGAATTCCACCAACCTTGCTTTTGTCTTCAGTTCTGGCTGCCTGTCGACACGCCGGGTGCCAGATGGAGGAGCCTGTGGACAGATTCCCAAGAGGGAAGCGCTACTGTTATTTCCGGAGATGCAGGGGCCGTGCGGAGTGTCGGGAGGAGGGAGCTGGCGTCCACACTCGGACCCTCACTCCCCTTCGTCTGTGCCGGAGTCACAGGTCAGGGCTGGGCCTGGGGCCGATCACGGGGGCTCACAGCCCCACCGGGAGGGGAAGGACATGAAACAGACAGGAAACGCCCCACCATGAGCTGATGCTCCCATGGGGTCCCTCGGAACCCCGGGCACCCAGACGAGGCTTCTCCGAGGAGGGGCTCTGTGGGTGGCTTCTATTCAGAGACAGGGGAGAGCAGAGGGGCTGCCGTGTGACCTGCACCAGCTCCTCTCTGTGCGGGTGGGCAGTGGCCAGGCCCAGCCATGGGCGCGGTGGGGGGCCGGAGCCCAGTGGGACCTGCCTGGAGAACGAGGGCTTTGGGGCAGGGCTCTCCTCGGGGACCCTCAGGTGGGAACCTTAGGTGTGCAGTGAAGATGAGGGCTGCAGGCTGGGGGCCCGACCCCGCACTCACTCGCGGGGTGTCTGAGCTGTCTCGCTCATGCCAGCCCCGCCCACCTTCCACAGCTACAGGCGCCACCCTCAAGGTAACAGGTCACCAAGCGCCCCAAGGACCCCAAGGGCCCTGCTCTTTTCTAATTCAAACTCGACCTACCAGAGTCTCAGAGTTTTCCCACCTGCACACAGGGCCGACAATAATCCTACCTGGTCAGGCCTTTGGCAGAATTAAATATAACTAAATAGGGGTAATAACTTCAGGGCCCAGAGCGCTTGCTTCCCGCCTCGGGCCTCCCTGAACCTCAGCCCGCCCCCCTTTCTCCCTCCGTCCATCCGTACTCCACTCACGCACCCTCTGCGGGTGGCCACGGCTGCTGTGTCCGCGTTTACATCCACCGCTGCCAGGACAGCCCATGCCCCGCGTGGAGGTGGGAGCCTCGTCCATCCCATTCTCACATCCCCCGAACAAGCCACACAGGGTGGACGTAGTAGGGGCCTGGCACACAGCAGGGGCTTAAAAGTGTGGTGGCAGGAAGGAGCTACACCCCATTTCCGCCTGCAAAGCCTCCAGGTCACGTGAGTTAACGCCGGGGAAGGGAACTTATTTCTGCTCCTCCCTGGGAAAACATCTGCACCAACTCGGAGCTCCCAGAGAGACCGGGCCTTGGTTGGTTTGTGTGTAAGCTTTTCTTTTTTTTAAAACAGTGCTTATGATTACAAAGGTAATAGCTGTTTTTTTGATTAAAATTTAAACAAGCCTAAAAAAAAATATATAGGAAAATTAAAATCATCTGTAACCTCCTACCCACTTTGGGTCGGGCTGTCTTGCAGTGTACACATACATATTAAATACAACGTAGGTACACAGTTTTGTATCCTGCGATTTTTGCTTAAAAGTGTCTTAGTATTTCTCCATGTAATTAAATATCAAAACTGTAACTTTAAGGGCTGCATAATATTGCATCGTATGGATTGATGAGAATGTCTCTATCTGCTCCTTGCCTGTTAGTTCCAAAGTTTTATTTCTAAATAAAGTTGCAGGGAGGGACTTCCCTGGTGGCGCAGTGGTTAAGAATCTGCCTGCCAATGCAGGGGACACGGGTTCGAGCCCTGGTCTGGGAAGATCCCACATGCCACAGAGCGACTAAACCTGTGCTCCAGAACTACTGGGCCTGCGTTCCAGAGCCCGCGGGCCACAACTACTGAGCCCACGTGCCACAACTACTGAAGCCCGCGTGCCTAGAGCCTGTGCTCCACAACAAGAGAAGCCGCCGCGATGAGAAGCCAACACACCGCAACTGCAACAAAGAGTAGACCCCACTCGCCGCAACTAGAGAAAGCCCATGTGTAGCAACGAAGACCCTACGCAGCCAAACAAATAAGTAAATTTATATTAAAAAAAAAAAGTTGCGGGGAGTCCATTGTACACGAGTTCCACCCCATCTCTCTGATTTACTTGAGGGCTTCCTAAAAGTGGGGTCTTGGCTCAGAGGGTGTGGGCATTTTTAAGGCTCTTGAAGCATCTTGGCAATTTCCCAGTTTTCGCCCACGAGCCAGGTAAGACGCCCGTTTCCTCCAATACCCATAGCATGGGGATGTGTCTTTCCTTTTAACCCTCGTCAACCCAGCGGGAAAAATAACATCAACGCGTTATTTTAATCTGGCTCTCCCTGATAATTAGTGAGAGTCAGACTCCCCCGCCTATGTTCACTGAGTCTGCGGACAGGAAGGTGCGTCCAGGGCTGGGTGGCAGTGCTGGTATTTGGCGGGGGGCACCTCATCTCCCTCGGAGGCCAAAGGGCTCACCGAGACCTCTGCTCCTTGGAGCTTTTACTGCATGGGATTCAGCCGTCAAATACGCCCTCCTGGAGCCCCAGCATCCAGGTGGACCAGGCAGAGGGTCTCGGGATGTCCGTGCAGGGCAGGGCCAGAGCCCCAAAGGGGCCCCTCACCGTGGGACTCTGGTGCTCCGTGGAGTGGGGCATGAAAATCACCGACGGGGTCTGAACCCTTCGGCACAGACTGGGAAAGAGGCTGGGAGGGGACGGGATGGGCTGCGACATCCCACAGAAAGTCAGGGCAGGTCCCGCATTAGAAACAGGGAGCCCAGAGCCATGAAGAGCATCTTTGTTCTGAGACTGGGTCCCCTTGATGGCCAGCTCGTGTCCCCAAGCTGCTGGCTCGATGCCACTGTGCTAGGCGTCAGTACATCCTGAAGGTGCCACTTACAGTGGGCGTGGGTGCCTCGGGCAGGCTGACCCCTCCCCACCCAGACATACGTAAAGGACCCCTTTCATAAGCTCTCAAGACTGAAGAACAAGAGGGGACACTGGGGACCAGGCAGTCCTGGCTGACGTCACCCCACGAGGTTCAGTCTCAGAAAGGGAGGCCTGTGTGACACACGGCTCCAGAAGGACGCCGGGTGACGTCACCCAATGGCCCGTCTGGCCCTACTCAGCTTGCCTCCGGGTTCACGGAGACACTGACATCCTTGAAAAGACAATGTGACTACAGAGACAGGGGGTCTCAGCATCTAACCCATCCCGCCCAGGCCCCTCGGGGAAGGTCTTCAACCTGCGAGCCCAGTTTCAGCGAGGGCACTGGCGAGCCTCAGCCCCACCTTTGACTTTGCGTCTACGCCGCTGGCCTGTC